GAAGTTTTTCTAGGAAGCACGCTCGCATTACGCCTGGAATTCACTGCAGCAGTTTCCCCGCAAGGTCGCGTCATCGGGGAAATTCTTTCTTCAACGTGTGAACCACACGACTTGACGCGACCGTAAAAATTGATAGCCTCTAACCACCGATAGAGCAAGGCGATACCTTCATTATTCTACACGCAGTGATATACGAAAGTATATATTTCAATATTTATTGACGACAAATTTTTGTTACGCGTACATTGCACGTGGAAACATTTTGCAATTCCGTCAGAACCTATGTAATTAGATCACGCTTCTGCGAGTTCACCATAATTACTGTGGAACTGACAAATGTCCATCTGGCCATCGTGGATTAAAGAAGAAAGAAGAAAGAAATTATTGACATTACGAGAGTGGAATACATCAAGAGTACGCGATAATGAGTCGCGTGATGAAAGGGAAGAATGGAATGCGGTTTTACGATTAACTCGACGATCAAAGCAACCCTGCATTAAATGAATGTCTATTTGCGTAAACTCCATTCGTATCCCGATTGCTCTCTATAAATAAGTCACCCTGACTTGCTTCGTCCGTACGATCTTCGATTTATGACGTCAGGAACGTCATGGAATGATATTTTCGTACAGGAATGCGCCGATGCCATTGTTTGGCTTTCTCGACTCGTTCGTTTGATTCATTCGGAAGATAATATAATTACAGGTAGATAATAAAATTTCTTTGAAAAAAAAAAAAGAAAAATCTATCTATATCGGTACAATCGTACAATTCTATGATAATTTCCATCAGTCATCTTCTGCCTTATTATACTGGCACGTAGAAATGTTTATCTTTAAACTTCATTTGCCCCTGTACTCTGTACATTTGCACAACATGGTTATATATTATTCTTACAAAGAACAACGCAATGCCACGAGTAAACATGCGTAATTTGTTTTAACAACTGTACAGATTGCAAAATACACTGAAAGTATAGGTACCACTTGCATCGCGAGTAAATGTTGTTTACATGGCGTGCACCTAGAATCAGTTGTCAAATGAACGATATAAAAACCAGAGCGTTAAATTCAAATTCTGTTTATGCGTTTAATCGTGTCTCACTCGGTGAATCACGTGAATCCCGCGAGGTAGAAATTACGATACTTTTACTTATTTTTATACGTTTGCGCGCAAATATCCTTAGCGACTTATTAGAACATAACAGAACTAATTTCATCTACCTAAATATCGTCGAGCATATTCCAAAAAAAAAAAAGAACAATTAATTTATATATTTATATATTATATTTATATATTAAAAAGAACAATTAATTTATATATTAAATTTATATATTATTATATATAATAAACACAAATGAATTATTAATTAATTGTGATAAGTTTACTGATTAAATAAGTAACATTCAAGATGAAAACACGAATTACGATTCGCGATTCAACAGACTTTCATTTTGAATGAATTTAAAGGAAATTGAAAGAAAAACGCGCCTTATCTGATGAGATCTCATGATTCAAAAGTTCTCCATGATCGAATAAAGATCAATTCAACTTGTTCTCGTGGAAGTGAAAATAAGTTCGGAGAATGTTTGGTACACAAGTATTCGCCGGTATGAAGTCCCTAGAAATAAATTTGGCTGGTCAGCCAACTTCAGAGCGCCACTGTACTCTGATTTTACATCGTTTCCCTGTTCTTAATACCGTTTGCGATTTATTTAGAAAGCGCCTCTTGGCCACTTCTCAATTACCGATCGTCCGGATTGCACATCAATTAGATCGCAGTTTTTGCTTCAATTTTTCGAATTCTACCGCGTTATTTCTGCGCTACGCGAATACAAATTACTTGGCCTGAACAAATTCAGATCATAAGATCATAAGATCTTGCGATCGTGTTGCGAGAATTTTTAAATATCGTACACTGCGTGCCATTCAAATAGAGACATCTCGATCCTCCTCGATCGACTAAACAAATTTAAGTCTGACAGAAACTGTTCGCACAAGTTCAACGAGATAAATAAACGGTGAAGCACGTTAACAGGAGATCTAACTGCACTTTACATGTCATACACGTATCGAATATCGTTTAGCCGACACGCTTTGATGATCGAAGCGTATACTTACGACTCAAAAATAGGCGGGAAACGTTTAAAAGCCAGTCGTGAAACACAACGGGCGCGAATGAACAACGCCAATCGTTGTAAAATGTTATGTTTCTCTTTTCTTATACTATGTACGAATTAAATTGACCAATTTTTAATAAAAACAAAATCTTTCGAAAATGGACAGTCTGTTCAACTGACTCGAAATTTCAGTCAATTTTCGTCGTCCGAAAATATTAATATAAATAAATGAATAAACGAAAATATTTGTTGACACACTGATAAACAGACTTATGCAATCGTGCTTCTGTCCAAACAGAAATTAATATTTAACTTTGACGAGAACAGCCGTAGTTCTTTTAAATAATTAAATTCGAAATTAATTATTTAAATAATTAATTTAAATAATTAAATTCGAACGAAAGTCCGTCAGTCGTATCGATCAGGTATTCGATTGTTACAGTACACTAATAAAATTACAATATTACAACAAAACTTGTACAATTATTTACAACACATGTATATGTATGTATGTATGTATATATATATATATATATATATATATGAAATGACACGTCACGTGTATTATTTCTCTCTCTCTCTCTCTCTCTATATATATATATAATGCTATATATAACAATACTATATAATAATAATATACAATAATATACAATAATAATACTATATATATAATAATATACTATATATATACTATATATATAATAATATATTATATATATACTATATATATAATAATATACTATATATATACTATATATATAATAAAATATATAGCAATAATACTATATATATATATATAATATATATATAGAAATAATATTTCTTATACGTGACGTGTCATTTCAAATATCCCGCCAAGAAAGTGTTAAAATGGGACGTGCAAATCGTTCGCGAGATATAGAGAATCGACCGATATTTGAGGCAAAGAATTCAGCGAAAAATCGTTTCACAAGAGTTCAACTAACCATAGATAATGTGCTGAGGTCCCATGCGCTCTTGGCCTGCTTTTGGTAGCCCTTCTTGTTCCTCTTGCCGGGTCTGCGCAAACTGGAGAACCATCCTGCGGCTATGGCGACGGCGCTAACATCCCGACGGTTATCCGTCTGCACGTTGCTACCGCGAACTTCGTCGAGAGCGTCCACTGACCTACCGGTGAAAATCATGCTTGGCACCAAGTCCGCCGCGTCGCCAAACTTCTCTCACAAAACCAATGGAATTCGTTTCACTCGGCTCCCGTTCACCTCGCTTGGATCATGATACTTTCAGGAACAACCGAACCACATTATCTGACACCACGCGCTGCATGCGATGATACTGTTTGATGATCTCGAGGCTGACATTGGCATGCGACTCTGTCGTTAACGCGATCAAAAATGATTCACCACGTCGCGAGTATTCGAATAAGCGTAATACTTTCTCGAAGGGAATTATCGACAGACGAGACCAAAGACTGTCGATAATATTCGACAACACTGAGTAAAAGATGACGCGATTTCCTTGAATTAAATATCTCTCAATCTACAATCGATATTTCACCAACGCGTAACCAATACCACGTGATCTTTATCTATCGATAAACACGTCTTGAAATTCTTCTATTGACCAGCAATCTTTTTATTTCTCTGTCGATAAAATTGAACAGTGGATAGAATAGAAGCAGTTTAAGGTAAGACCTTTTCTGAATGATCGACAGACTTTGATTATAACTTGCAACAACAACAATGTACTTTGTACAATTTTAAAATTTTCCCGCGCTTTTGGAAAACACCGTTTCACACCGCTTACTAGTCGATTCTCCAAAACGACAGCACGTATCGTCTCGAACACACTGGCGTAATTTTACCCGGAGAAACGAGATTATATCAGTTGGTCAGATATCGTGATGCTGCGAGGTGAAGAACGACCCACCTCATTCAGCGGTTGACGTGCGACTCACGAGCGTAGAGTAAACGGTCGCGCTGGAAACGCGCTGGCGCCTCGTGGTGGACGCGGCGTGAACTCAGCCACGCGTGTGTGAACACACAGGTTGATTCTCATAACTGGGATAGCTTGCACGTAGCTATTCCTTTTCTAAATAAAGACGTATAGGGAATATTATTAGAATTACAAAAACGTAAGGACTAAATGTATCTCTCTTTAAATTCTTGCCAAGTTAAAAATATAAGATGCTTTCCATTGGTTAACTACCGTACTTAGTAAATATACTGCAATAATTTAGATGCAGATGCGTAAATGTCAATCAATCGCATTAACCGTTGTTTTTCACCAAGTACTCGTGTCCACGAATTGTTTATTTCTCTCAAGTGCTCGGAGAATTTTTACGTAAGTAAAAGTTTCTCTACACACGATATACAAGCGCGGACGTATGCGGACAGCATGCGAATAAAAAAATGCACAAAGTTACATCCTGCGCCGGTGCACCTGCGGGAAAAATAAAATCGAGTAGAATTTTTCTGAATCGACCTGCATTTTTATTTTTTTTTTTTTTTTTTTTTTCTCTCTCTCCGCATCGTGAAAATGAAGTACGAGCAACTTCCAATTGCAAGGATCAGCCTGTACAGTACATCGCGTTTGCGTTCTCGTATGAGGTCAAACCGATCCTACTCTTTGTGGATGAAGCACGGTTTAAAAAGCAGCGAACGCACACGCGTAAGCCGCAGACAGTTCTCAATTGCAGTGCAATATCTCCTCGTTTCCGAGAGACTTCGAAAAAAATGTAATTTCGGTAATTTCATTTCATATGTGTTTGCACTGATATGATGCTGAGGGTCAAAATACACCATCAATACTCGAAGATATTTTTTCCACTAGGCTATGATACTCTTTGGACGATGTTGTAAGTTTTATTTACTTATCGAAGAATATTTTCACATGTATACATTATATAAAAAGAAAACTATATTTTCAACGTCGGCATTGTGGTCGGTTAAACTTATTTGTGTCTCTAGATTTCGTACATGCAGGCAACACCCCAAGTGGACACTTCAGGGCTCGTCGCGTGGTTGCCGTGGTTCGTGAAAAGAATGCTTCTGAGAATGGGACAGGCTGAAATTTCGCCGACTGCTTATCAATTGGAGGCGCTCGAGTAAGTGTCGAGCAGGGCGTTGACAGGCCACGGTTCAATGTGACCGTTTTATCTGCTTGTCTGGGCTCCTTCGACAAGTTATTTCATCCAACATTCGCATTACTTCGGCTACTACGCTTAAGTGATTCCTACATAAAATGACTCATCCATTAATCTCTCAAGTGAGTCTTAAGACTTACGTATAATATACATTTTATTTACAACGAAAAGATTAAATAAAACAAATTCTGCTCTTGCTCTTTATTATTGAATTTGATAAATGTCCGTCGAACCGCATCGAGTTGGAAAAAAAAACCGATAAAATTTTTTTATTTATCTTCAACTCCATTGACTGACTCAAGAGTCAATAATAATTTGCATATACTGTGAAAATTATGCAGATACAGTTCACATAAATATTGTTCGTTACTATCTTAATGAAAAAATAACTGAAATATAGTTATACCGCTGGTACAGTACAAGTGGAATATTTTTCCAATAGCTACCAATGAAATAGCTCGTTGATTAATCACCGCGTATTTTCAAAATTACGTAGTATTTTCAAGCATGTGGATCGAATAAAACCCGGTCGTTGGAATTACAATGTAAATACCACCGGGCACCGCGTATTTTACAGTTCCTCTGATATGTACTTATTCCGTTCGTAAATAACGACATCGCCCTCGCTCTAATACGGTTTTCCACATTTACGCGGCTGATAAATTCGTTGTCGAATCGGGGACTACGAAATCTGCTCGTCGCAGGAAAGAATTGCATTCCTTT